TTTTATGAGATTGTAAAAGCCGTCAAATCATAAATAATGTCTCAGGTAAAAGAAGAAATTACAAACATACTGAAAGAATTGTTCAGCAGGTCTAAAGAAGACATAGATAATAAAGAGGAGAATAGGAAAATGATGGAAACCTTGAATGAATACAGAAAGGGATTACAATGCACGAAACAGATTCAATGATAGATGCAGGAAATTACAAATTCAACTGAAAGCTGGCAAAACTGATTGAAAGAGACTGAAGATAGATTTTCAAACATTGAAGGCAGGATTGCAGCTAGTGATCATGAAAGGAAAGATCTCTTAAAAATAACACAGAATCAGGAAATAATAACTCAACAACTTCAAGATGAGGCAAAGAAGCATAATTTAAGAGTAGGTATCAATGAAGAAGCAGGGGTCAACACAAATGAAATTAAAAGGATATTCACAGAAGTAATACAAGAGAACTTCCCAAACGTGGGAAATGGATCTGGCATGCAGACAAGTGAGGCATATAGGACTCTAATTGGCCATAAATAAAGTAAACTTACACCCAGACATATAATAATCAAGATCTCAGAAATTCAGTACAAGAACAGAATATTAAAAGATGTTGAAGAAAAGAAACAGATCACCTACAGAGGAAAACCAATCATAATCACAGCAGACTGGTCAACACAAACCATCAAGTCAAGAAAAGTTTGGAGTTAAGTGTTTCAAACTCTGAAAGAAAACAACTTCCAACACAGATTGATCTACCCAGCAAAACTATCTATCAAAATTGTTGGAAAAAGAAGATACTTCTATGATAAAGAACAACTGAAAGAATTTATGACTACCAAACCAACCCTACAGAGAGTGCTAAAGAATATCCTAGAGAGAGAGAGAAAGATAACCATGGTCCCAGGAACAGCAGCAGAGGAGGATCTCCAAATGAGACAGGCAACTGAATGAAGGGGAAAAGTGGAGGGCCAACAACAGGAGGATAGCAGAGCAGAGACAATCAAATGTATGCTGGTTGTAATCATTGATGTAGATGGTCTCAGGTCAGCAATAAAAAGAAACACAGGGAGAGCAGATCAAGATCCATTGATATACTGTATATAAGAAACACATTTAGCTGGAAAGGAAATTTATAGATTGAAAATCAAAGGAGAGAACACAATTGTTCCATGTTACAGGAGACCAAAAAAAAAAAAAAAAAAAAAGCAAGAGTAACTTGCTCATATGGTACTTTTGTGCAGTGGAAAGCTACCCAGTATAAAGTAGAATAATCTCAAGGCTCCTGTAGATAAATGGACACAACTGAAGATCATGTTCATGGTTAAAACAGTTCAAACTCATATGTGTGAGCCTTAGTATAAGAAACAGGAGTTAATCCAAAAGAAAAAGGGATTCAAAAGCAAAATAGTTAATGTAAGAGCAAAGGGGAGGAAATACTTGGGAGGGAAAGGTGGAAACTACTGTCAATTACTCATTGTCTTATCTTGAACTTTTGCATTGTTTACACAGTTTTGTTACATTTGGCTTTTTTCTGTCTTGTTTTGTTAGATTTTATGCTGTCAGACAATAAGGGCAGCTATTTTGAATGTAATGGTATCTATTATGTTAATCATGGTTTCCTATATATTGCTTTTGAAGTCTTATAATGCTTTCATTCATTGGATTGATTGGTTTTATTCTGTTTTGTTTGATTTTATTATGTGTGATAGTATGAACAGCTATTTTGAAGAAAGCAAGACATTATAGCAGCCATTGCTGAGTTACTATCATCTTGTTTTGAAGTCCTACCATGTTTTATTCTTCTGTTTTGATTGTTTCTATCCTGTTGTGTTTGATTTGATTATGGGAGATGGTATCAACAAATTATTTGAGCTAGATGAGACATTATAGTAGCCATTGTGCATTTCTTGTTATTTGGTTTTGAAGTCCTGTAATGCTTTCATTCTTTTGAATGATTTTATTCTATTTTGTTATGCTTGATTTGTGTGTGAAGGTATGCTCAAGTATTTCAAAGAAAAGAGACATTATGGTAGCTGCAGTTGATATCTAGTTGTCTTGTTGTGAAGTGCTATGTTGCTTGTATTGTTCTGTTCTGATTTGTTCTGTTCTCTTTTGTTTTATTCTCCTTAAAATAAAAAAAATTAAAAATCATTGTGACATTTCAATACTTGCATATAGCCTTCACTGATCAAAACTTGCTTAGCTTTATCCACTCTTCCCTTCTACCTTCCCAAATTTTATTTTATTTTGTTTTTATTTTAGAGAGAGTAAAACAAAACATAATGAAACAGAACAAAGCAGATCAGAAGAAAACAATGTAAGTGACACAGATTTCAAAGCAAGACAACAGGAGATCAACAGTGGCTATCATAATGTCTCTTGTTTTATCCTAGATAGTTGTCTATATCTTCATACACAATGAATTCATACAACACAAAATAGTACAAAACTGATCAAAACAGAGTAATGAAGGCATTATAGGCCTTCAAAACTAGACAATAGGAAAATCAGCATTGGCTACTGTAATGTCTCTTGTTCTCTTCAAAATAGCTGTCCATATCTTCATCTATGTTGAAATTAAATAACACAAAACAGACTAAAACCACTGTAACAAAGAATACAAGCATCATTGGGTTTCACAGCATGACCATAGGAAATCAGCAATGGATACCATAATGTCACTTTTTCTTCAAAGTAGCTATTCACTTCATCATGCATAATAAAATCAATTCTTGTAAACTGTTTAGGAGAAGTTCTAGGCATGTATAAGCTTTTACATGTACATCTATCCTCTGGGCCAGTGGGTGGGGAGCCACTTCCCCCATTTCAACCATAAACAGAACACCACAATAATAATTATTCAGGTTTAAATTTAAGAGATTATGCAGACTTTTTTTTTCCTTTACCTGACTGGGAATCGAACCCGGGCTGCGGTGGTGAGAGTGCCAAATCCTAACCACTAGACCACCAGGGAGTTATGCAGACTTTTGACAACAGTGAAATAAACCATGGGAAACACCTTGGATTAGTGATGTCTGACTCTATAAATAATGGAAACATAAATTATCTCTTTTTTGTGCTCTGCACTTGAATCTCTTTCTCCTTTCACCACTGAGTCCCTTTTTCCCTTCACACTTATTTTCCTTTCACCCTTATCCCTGTCCCTGTGATCTTCAATAAACATTGCTACTTACTACATACCATGAGGCAAATGGTAGGCAATCTTTTCATTATCATACACAAGAACCCAGACTATTTTTGACCCACTCATTGTAATACTATTGGACAGAGGTACAGCCTGAGTAGACGGGAGATCTGAATAGGGTCAAGTGAGTAGTTACAGTTTAACTGGCACCACAAAATAAAAGAACTTTAAATAAGTTATATTTTTTCCCTGAGACAAATGCCTTCTCTAAACATTCTCAGGCCAAGAACATAAGGGGTTACTACCACCCCTCCTAGGCACAGATGAATGAAACAAAATATATAGATGCTCACACGAAGAGATCAAGTCCAGCTTCATTTCGTTAGGCAAATTAGGGAGAGGTCCATGTTCTGGAAGGGATGGAACAAGCCAAAATATGTCTATTGCCTCATTGAAACCCTTCACACTTTTCTTGCTATAAAATACCCTAACACAGCTGTATATTGAGAGATAGTGATTTGGGTAATAACCCCCAAATCTCCTCAGAGATAGCTTTAAATAAATGCTTTATCCTTTTTAGCAAAAAAAAAAAAAAAGGTCTTCTATGAACTGGTCAATGAGCAAACAAACCTGAGCATGTGAACCTAAGTGACTCTTAAAAATTTTGGAGTAGCCAACCAGATGTTAGGTCCCCGCTTTGGATAGGTATAAATTTCCTGGTGTCCTACTGGTGAAGTAACAGGCAGTTCAGTAAATGTACCATCTGAACCTGTCTAACTGATTGGAACTTGGGGGACATTCTGGAGATTACAGGGACAATTCTTCACCCAGAATTATCTCTTTCAAGCATGCCTTTCTGTTCAGGACATCAACTATTTATAAATGTTTTTGTTGGTAAAGGAAAAGAAAGATTGTTTGAAGAGCTGATGGGCTTTGCCTGATCTCCCACTAGAAACTATTTAGGCATCAACTATTTCCATCATTTATACCTTCTCTTGGATCACTGTTTAACAGCAAAGTTCTGAACAAGAGCCAAGCAGCACCCATATTTGGAGGCAAAAGTCAGCTTTATATTTGCCAGCAGACATGACTACAATGATTCCCTGTTGGGGGCCCTGGCCGGGTGATATGAGGCCTGTAGGAAAGAGTGAAGCCTGAGCTAGATTACCCCTCCCACCGAGTGTGCCAAGATGGCGCTTATATCCTGCTTCCTGCTTAGTAAACAACACACCCTGTAAGACAGTCCGCCCAGCAACAACTGCCGTTAGCCAATCAGCTTGCCTTGCCTACTTTAATATGATTGGACACTGTATCCGTATATATACTGGTGCCACCCTTGGGGAGAGGCAGAATAGGAAGGAGAATAGGAGAGAATAGAGTAAGAGAGAAGAAGCGCAGAGAGAAGCACGCAAGGAGCCGCGGAGGGCGGACCAGAGGAGGCTTCCCTCGGGCGGGATCGGGGATCCCGGAGCAGGCTGTACGGAGAGAGAGAATAAACGGAAAGGTTGTCCGCCAACAACTCTTGTCGTGTGCTTTTCCTGCCGGCCGGGACCGACACCGACAATTGGTGGCCCGTACGGGGAACTGATCACCCCCGAGACGAGGCGGACAACGCTCCAGTACTGCACTGCAGGACAGGTGAGTAGGGGATAAACCTGGGCTCTGGGTGGCGCGCACCTACAGGGCTTTTTAGACTCCCCTCAGGCTCACGTGTACGTGGCAGACTAGCCTCACACGGTGAGAACAAACTTCTCAGTGACAGGCATGGGCAACTTACCCACTAAGAGTTCCAAGTCACTGGTAAGAGCAGTGAAAGACCTGCTCAAGATTTCAGGCATATCAATAAGTTCCAAGACACTTGCAGAATTCCTCCAACAAATAGATGAGGCAGCACCCTGGTTCCTGCCGACGGGACATTTGTCCCTGCCTTGTTGGGAGAAATTGGGTAAAGATTTAGAACGAGCAGAAGCGGAGTGCCGGCTTCCACTTTCGGTTCGGCCGCTCTGGGAGATGATTCATTCCTGCCTCAAAGGGGAGAGGAACGGGGCTAAAGATAGCGCGGACGGGCTCTCTCGGGCCCGCCGAGCTTTTGAGGGGGCCCGCTCGGAGTCCTCCCGGGAGGGGTCCATCGCAGGGAGCGTGCGAGGGCGCTCGCGAGAGCGAGGCAAGAGAGAGGCGCCCCCTGCCTCGGATTCCTCAGACTCAGATACCTCGGAGGGCGAGGACAATGAGGTAAGTGACTCCCCTAATCCCTTCGCAGCTTTACGTAGAGATCTAGTCAAGATGCAGACAGACCTAAAAAAGGGAAAAGAACTCTTGAGCACTCCCCAACGGAAGGTCATAGAGCCTTCCGCGCCACCCTGGGGGGTCCCAAACGCCAGTTCCTATGGTGAGATGGCAGCCTGGGGCCCACCTCCGTTGCCACCCCCATGGAGGGAGTGGCCTGGACCGTTGTCACATGCAGAGCCGCCATCTTATTTGCCTGGCGACCCGCCATCTTGTGCCCTAAAGGCTGGTCGGCCATGTTGTAAAGAGGCGCCATTTTGTGATAGGGAGAGACAGTCATCTCACAAGGAGACACCATCTTGTGAGAGAATACCAAGGTCCCAAGAAAAGTACTTTCGTAGATGGACATTTAAGATGGAACAAATCCCCCATGGGGCAAATGAGTACGAACAATGTGGGTTCTATCCGGTACACCTGGCGCAAGGCCAGGGACCCAATTACTGGGAACCACTGGAGATTAAGCAAATTAAGGAGCTCAAAACTGCGGTTGCCACGTTTGGCCCTACTGCTCCTTACACTATAACAATGTTGGAAAATCTGTCCGCCGGTGGTTTCCTGACACCCAGTGATTGGACCCAGTTGGCTAAAGCCTGCCTGGCCCCCGGGGCTTTTCTGGACTGGCGCGCCTGGTACACTGAGTTTGCTGCCGAGCAGGCCAAGAGAAATGCGGCTAGGGGCCATAGGGGACAAAATGAGGACATGCTTATGGGTAAGGGTCAATATGCCCAAGATCAAACCAGATTCCCTCCAGGTGTATATGAGCAAATACACAACATAGGTATTCGTGCCTGGAAGCAGGTAAACAACACAGGAGCGGCCTCACAATGCCTCTCTAAAATTGTTCAGGGCAACGCAGAACCTTTTGTGGATTTTGTGGCCAGAATGCAAGAGGCAGCCGATAGACTCTTTTCAGATCCGATTGCTGCTGCTCCTCTTGTTAAACAGTTGATCTTTGAGCAGTGTACCATGGACTGCAGGGCAGCCATAGCGCCCCACAAGGGTAAAGACATAGAAGCTTGGATCAAGATTTGCAGAGAAATAGGAGGGCCACTGTCCAATTCAGGCGTGGCTGCCCTTTTAGCTGCCGCTTTACGACAGACAAGGCCTCAGAAGGCTAATGACCCTGGTAAGCCCAGGGGATGCTTCCAGTGTGGGGATCCTAACCACATAAGAAAAAACTGCCCCAAGACTGGACGGGGGGAATTTATACCCAGAAGACAGGAATCAGACAAACAAACGGGGACCTGCGAAAGGTGCGGTAAAGGTTCTCACAAAGCAAAAGATTGCAGATCAGTTTTTGATGCCCAGGGAAACCGTATTAGTGGCAGGGAGATTCCGGAGCCAAAAAACGGCCAGAGGGGGCCCTCCCTACGGATGGGCCCCCACCCCCTAGACAGGACAGCACAAGGTGGCAGCCCCCCACAAGGGCTACTCCTGGGTCAGCAGGCGTGGACCTCTGTGTCGCCTCCAGACTCCTATTAACACCCGATATGGGCGTTCAGGTGGTCGGGACCACCTTCAAAGGACCGCTACCTGAAAAGTCAGTTGGTTTAGTGATTGGACGGTCCTCCACAGCCCTCCGGGGCCTTACCGTGATCCCTGGAGTTATAGACTCAGACTACACAGGAAACATTAAGATTATGGTCCAATCTCATGTAGGGACCATGGTGATTAATGAGGGGGATAAGATAGCACAACTTTTATTGCTCCCCAGTCTCCATGAGAGATTCCAGTCTAGACAACGGGTTAGAGGGGATCAGGGTTTTGGCTCCTCTGGAGAAATTTTTGAAGGACTTCATATGACTCTTGATAAAAGACCCATGCTCTCGCTCAGGGTTAATGGTAAAAAAATAACAGGACTCCTGGATACAGGGGCAGACCGCTCCATTGTCTCCAAGAAAGACTGGCCTTCTAGCTGGTCCACCAATACAGCTGATAACACACTCCAAGGGTTGGGGATGGTGGCTGCCCCCCAGGTTAGTGCCGTGACCCTGCCTTGGTGTGATGAGGAAGGTCACCAAGGACATTTTCAACCTTTTGTTCTACAGCTGCCGATATCCTTGTGGGGAAGAGACATCCTCACTCAGATGGATGTCACTCTTACATCCACCTGTTCTCCCCAAGCTAAAGGCATACTTAGAAATCAGGGATATGTCCCTGGCAAGGGCTTGGGCTCTCCCCTGCAGGGCCGGACATCTCCCGTGTCTGTAGAAAAAAGGAAAGATAGACATGGGCTGGGTTTTTCCTAGGGGCCACTGAGAAAGTTCTCCTGCCCACTCCAATTAAGATCACTTGGAAATCCCAAAATCCGGTTTGGGTACCTCAGTGGCCCCTACCCAGGGAGAAGCTTTTAGCATTAACCGAGATAGTCAAAACCCAGTTTCAGGCAGGGCACATAAAGCCATCAACCTCCCCTTGGAATACCCCTGTTTTTGTTATTAGAAAGAAATCAGGTAAGTGGAGGCTGCTCCATGATCTAAGGGCAGTCAACGCGCAGATGCAACCCCTGGGGGCGATCCAGAGGGGGCTGCCAGCTCTCTCGGCCATCCCTCAGTCCTGGCCAGTTTATGTTATAGATCTTAGAGACTGTTTCTTCTCAATCCCCCTGCATCCAGAGGACACCCATAGATTCGCCTTTACCCTACCCACCATTAACCAAGAAAGTCCTGATCAGAGGTACGAGTGGGTCACATTACCCCAGGGTATGGCCAACAGTCCCACCATGTGTCAGATTTACCTTGATTCTCTACTGGCCCCCCTACGCGAGGCCTTCCCCAGAGTTAGGTGTATTCATTACATGGATGATCTGCTGATCAGTGCAAAAGATGTAAATAGGTTAGAGGACATGCTAGGCCAACTGGTCAAGGCCCTGAGAAAGGCCAATTTACATATTGCCCCTGACAAGATTCAGGGAGGAGACATAGTAACCTACTTGGGTACCAAAGTCTCCCCTACATCGATTTCTCCACAGAAGGTAACCATCAGAACAGATAATCTTACAACCCTAAATGACATGCAAAAGTTATTGGGAGATATAAATTGGATCAGACCTTACTTACACATCCCTAATTCGGACTTAAAGCCCCTGTTTGATCTCCTGAGAGGAGATCCGGATATTGCCTCCCCTAGAGAGTTCACCCCAGAAGCCAGAGTTGCTCTAAAAAAGATAGAAGAGGCCCTAAGCAAAGCTACATTACAGAGAATTGACCCAGAACAGCCTTTTGAGGTCTGCTTGTTGCAGACCAGTTCTCAGCCCACGGCAGTGATTTGGCAGAAAGGACCACTTCTGTGGGTGCACCCTAAGGTTTCACCTGCCAAGATTATTGAACACTACCCGGAAACAGTTGCTTCCCTGGCTCTGGAGGCACATGGTAGAGCCATCCAGCATTTTGGCTCCACGCCTCACGCTATTCGGGTGCCTTATACCGCTTCTCAAATAAAAATCCTGACTGCTTGCATAGACACTTGGGCCATCCTGAGATGTGTTTTTCTTGGGGAGATAGACAATCAGTTCCCCAAGGACCCTATACTACAGTTTGTTACTCAACATCCGGTGATATTTCCAAAAATCACCGCCCCTGCACCCCTTACTCCTGCAACAACGGTCTATACTGATGGGTCAAAAACCGGGATAGGGGCCTATGTGGTCTCAGGTATGCCTCCGATCAGCATACAATTTGAACCAGATCAACCACAAGTGGTAGAGTTACAAATTGTACAAACCGTCCTCGAGAAGTTCCCAGGAGCCCTTAATATTGTTTCTGATTCAAAATATGTGATCAATGCCATACAGGTCCTTGAGACTGCAGGCCCAATTAAGCCAACCTCCAAAGTGACTAATTTGTTTCTGTCTATCCAGACATTGCTCATAAATAGACACAACAAAATATACATCACTCACATAAGAGCACATACACGCCTACCAGGGCCCATGGTACAAGGCAATGCGGCTGCTGACGCGGCCACTCGCCCGTTGTGGATTTTCAATATGTTATCTCCAATAGAGCAAGCCCGTCAGTTCCATGACAAATTCCATGTCAACGCCAGGACGCTAGCCAAACAGTACCACATCTCCAGGGCTGACGCGCGGGACATCGTGCGACTGTGCGGCTCATGCACCACATACACGCCTGCTGTATCAACGGGGGTTAACCCCAGGGGGTTGATCCCTGGCGATACTTGGCAAATGGATGTCACACACATGACAGAATTTGGATCTCTTAAATATGTCCATGTCTCCACGGACACCTGTTCTCATATTATATTCGCGACTGCGGAGACAGGCGAAAAGGTGTCTAATGTGATAAACCATTGCTTGGCGGCCTGGGCCGCATGGGACAAACCAAAAATATTAAAAACTGATAATGGACCAGCCTATATAGGCAAAGCCTTTAATGAGTTCTGCAAAAAAATGGGGGTTCAATTAAAACATGGTATTCCATACAATCCCCAAGGTCAAGGAATCATTGAAAGGGCTCATAGAAGCCTTAAAGAAATTCTACAAAAACAAAAAGGGGGAGTAAGCCAGGGCCTGCCCCCAAAGGCACGGCTCTCCATGGCACTATTCACATACAATTTTTTGAACCTGAACAACAACAACCACTCCCCGGCTATGGAACATTGTAATCCATCTCCTAGCAATAGGGGATGGGTGAAATGGAAAGATGTCCTGACGGGACAATGGATGGGCCCGGATCCAGTAGTCAGCTGGAACCGAGGTGCGGTTTGTGTTTTCCCACAGGAACCAGGAAGAGAACCATTGTGGGTTCCAGAACGGCTGACGCGCGTAGCGAATCCAACGGAGCGCAATGCAGGGGACACTCCAAAACTCAACGGCAACGAACAGCCCGGTCAAGATCGGTCCGACCAGGATACTGCTGCTCGACCGAGCGATACCGTATGACTTCTGGAGCACAATAATGATTATGCTCTCTATAGTAATTGGTTCTCTTTTAGGGTACGGCGCAGCCAGAATGGCTAGGCCACGCCGCCTCCCGGCAACCCCTTTCCTCCTGGCTCTGATGCTCACCACCACCACTGAAATAGGAGCAGACCTGGTATGGGCGGCAATACACCATCCGCCAGCGCTGGCCATGATTTCTACTACAGCCCCCTCTCTCCCAAAGCTGTACGCAAAAAGCTGCTCCGCCAGATTGCCCTGCATACCAGATATACCGCTAACCATCAAACCCATACGTTTTGACCTCCCCATCACTAATGATGTGGTCATCTTTTCCACTGTTAGCTACCCCTCATGTCATCTGGGATCATGCATAGGCTTCCTGCCCTTTTTTATAAAATGGCACGACACCTCCCTGACGGTAAAGTTGTCCGCCCCATTTCTGTATCCGCCTGAATGTTCGGGTAAACACGCTAGCCAACTAGCCTGTAGACCCCGAGCAGCCATGCACACCCGTCCCGATTTTCCCACATGCCTGTACCGTGTATCCCCAAGCCGTAAAAGACAGATGGTGGATCTGTCACAACTTTCGTGGCAGCCCTGCACTGTCGATGGCGTGGGAGTTACTTATCTAAACATGTCTTGGTGGTCCCGGTTCTCTCTTCCACGCAGTACAGACATACTCACTGTGACTGGGTGGGAGTCACAGCGACACCAATATTTTGATGGCGCTGTGACTTGGTGGGAGCCCTACAAGGAAATAAGCAACAATTTGGCAACAAGTTTCCCCTTCCCCCTTAATGAAAATTGGTTATGCCTCTCCACGGGAGCCTGCATGGACTTAAGACCTGTGCTTGCTATTAACGCCTCTGCCTCTAATGGAACCACCAATGTCACCCTTAACTCTGAGGCCGCATGTGTAAAACCGCCCTACTTATGGGTGTTCTCTGTTGACATCACCTTCAAGTGCAGTAACCAATCTTGTTTTACAGGGAACTGCTGGAATGGGTCTTTCCCGTATGCTATGCTGGCTCTTCGACCCCCACTGATGTGGGTTCCCTTTAACGAATCTGTTTGGGTTCATCCCGTCTACCAACAGGACCAGCTACCCATGCTCAGGCATAAGAGGGATTTTGGGATCACAGCGGCCTTGGCAGCACTGTTCGTGACTCTGACTGCAACGGCTGTGACGGCTGCCGTTGCTCTGACTCAGTCCACGCTGACGGCGCAGGCCTTTGCCAATCTTACGGACACCACCTCCTTGGCGCTGAGGGAACAGCAAGAAGTTAACCTCCTCCAGCACAACGCCATAATGGCACTACAGCAACAGATCGACCTAATTGCCCAAGAAGTCCAAGGACTTTGGGAGGTGGCTAACAATTTGTGTGACGCCAGATGGGCATTCACCCAGTTATGCGTTACCCCCATTCAGGTCAACCGTTCGGCCTACAAGCAATTTCAGGATTATGTTCTCACCACCTACAATTCCTCCTTTTGGAATGCTAGCGTGCGCCTAGATATGACCATCCGGCAGCTAGATCAGATAGAAGTACCTATACTTACAGCCTCCTTTTTTGATGATGTCCTAGGCCAGATAGGCTCTTTCTTCAAACCCTCATCACTTCTTGTGTATGGGATCATTCTTGTTCTCATGGTTGTCGCTCTCGTGACCCTCAGGTGCCTGCGGTCGATAAGGACGACCCAAAAGACACATATGGCACTGATGATATTGCTGGCCCAGAGTCAAGGGGATTCTACTCCTAGTGCTTTCTGGGCTCAGGCCAGGAAGGCACGACTCCAATGGTGATTACTTAGTTCCTCAGTGTCACTCGGCGGACCCCTTCGTATCTCCCCCAAACATCAGCTCTAAGAGTTGAGTGGACAAGCCAATGACGGGTAAGACGGGAGAAGTTCTCCTGATCAACCTAAGACAGGCTCCACTCCGATATACTTGGCCTGTAAGGCCGAGGGTCCCTCCGGGAGTAAAGTTAATGGCATTGAGATGCGAGACCAAGGGTACTGCACTGCCATCCGCCTCAAAGGTTGGGGGGAAGACAGGAATGAATGTCTATATGCATCCAGGTTCGGTTCACAAAAGCCTGGCCCTGCAAAAAATGAACCACTCACCTTGAGCATGGTCCTGGGCCAAGGATATGCACAAAACAAGGTGATGCACAGCAGGGTATAGACCTCTACATTCTCTCATGCCTCGGCCTACAAAGTAGGCCCACTCCTAGACACCTTAAATGGACCCACAGACCACTCTATCTTAATAAATAAAGAAGGGGGAGATGTTGGGGGCCCTGGCCGGGTGATATGAGGCCTGTAGGAAAGAGTGAAGCCTGAGCTAGATTACCCCTCCCACCGAGTGTGCCAAGATGGCGCTTATATCCTGCTTCCTGCTTAGTAAACAACACACCCTGTAAGACAGTCCGCCCAGCAACAACTGCCGTTAGCCAATCAGCTTGCCTTGCCTACTTTAATATGATTGGACACTGTATCCGTATATATACTGGTGCCACCCTTGGGGAGAGGCAGAATAGGAAGGAGAATAGGAGAGAATAGAGTAAGAGAGAAGAAGCGCAGAGAGAAGCACGCAAGGAGCCGCGGAGGGCGGACCAGAGGAGGCTTCCCTCGGGCGGGATCGGGGATCCCGGAGCAGGCTGTACGGAGAGAGAGAGAATAAACGGAAAGGTTGTCCGCCAACAACTCTTGTCGTGTGCTTTTCCTGCCGGCCGGGACCGACACCGACAATTCCCAAAGAAGTCAGGCCCAAAAGGCTCAGGAGGGAGGTTTTCTATGGTATTGCAAAATGGAAGTACAGAGGCAGAGTGGATTGTCATTTGGGGATTGATTTTTACAATGTGCACCATAATCACAAGTCACGCATCATAGTGAACAGCTGTTTCTAGGAAACAGATGTTAACAGAAACCGAAGTAAACTAAAAGTTACTTGGGCAACAGAAAAACAGTAACTGAAGCGTATTGGCTGGGGAGCCATTTTCTATTATAACTGAGTGGTGCTGTAAGCAAGTAGGGTGGCATAGAGGCTAAAAAGATTACTCAGAGATGAGAATTAGTTCAGTCACCAAGAAGCCCAGAGGGCTATTCTAAACTAAGAGCAAGAGCACCCAACCATTAAGGAGAATCTCTGGAGAAGAAAAAGCCACAAGTATTTATTTCATTTTTTATTAGTGCATTTTATTTTATTTTATTTTATTTAGCCAAACTCTCTGGCTTTTATTGAGAATGCCAGTGTAGGAGGAAAAGCAAGAGAAGAGCAGTTTGCACAAGGAGCTCTATCAAGGTTAGACAATTTTTCTTGAGGAAAAGGCAGGGACAATGGCCAGACACAACATGCTTCACTAATCTAAAGTACTGATTATTGTTTAACCATTCATTCCTCACAGAGCCTGCATGCTTTTTGCACACTTTTTATTATTTGTGTGCTTTTGCCCTCCATTTTAACCATTCATTTCTGGCCAAGTCCACTACACTTGGACAGTGGTGTTGGGTGAAATACACACTTTCATGTGTTGGAGTTATTTGGACCTATTATAGGTCATTTTGTCTCATTGATTGGTCAGAGGCCAGTCAGTGCCACTTGGGGTGAGGTAAGCACCTATACCACTTGTAGCTATTTGGACCTTCTGCATGTCATTTTGGAGCACTGACTGGGGTGAGAAGAGATTAACAGTAGAAATTTTTTCTGGTATTTGTTGAGTTGGTTTGAATTACACATTTTGTTTGGTTTGTTCTGATTTTTTTTATCTTTCTCTTCTTATAAGCTTATAAGCACCTTTATTCTAGGATAATCAGAAAAGTTTTAGCATTAAATAGAAGCTGCATATTGAATGATTAAGTTTAAGCCAGGATTTTCTGATGAGCATGGCACCTGTGCTTTGTCTTCTCCACCATATGCATGCAAAGCAGGAAAAGATCTTCCCCTTTAGAATCTTACGGTACACTCAATTAGGCCAGGGAGCTTCCCAATGGCAGAATATCTCCACAGCATTAATTAGATGGAGGTTTAAATCCACTGAACATAGACATTAGGCCTCATCTTTCTGTTTTCTCATCTTTGGGGATTCTTGTGAACCCATTTGGGTTTTGTGTCAGCCTTTGTAGCTCTTAAATATTTCTGAGGCTTTTTATGAGTCATTCTAGATTCCAAGGTTCTTTAACCATTTGTGTGGCATGAAAGTTTGGATTAAAAATTTTAAGAGACTAGAGACACTGGGGATGTGAGTAGAGATCAGTTTTGATTTGCTCAGAAATAAAAATGCTTACACTACTTTAGCTCTTTTGAAAAGTTTTAGTTACCTGTGACTTGAAAAAAGATTCTTTTCCTGTGATACAAATTGGCTATTATAACTGAAGCACATACTGATTTCATGTGGCTTTCTTTAAAAAGGGTCTCAGAAGTAACTCTGGCCAGGATACTATCCACAGCTGCTTTCCTCACCCTTTTCTGTATTAGTGATGAGCACAATAATGAGCCTTGTCTGTTCACTGACTGGGTGGCTACTTGAATAATACTGGTGTGTTTCCTCCATGATTTTAAACTCCCCTTTGTTTTGATTAAAAATCATTGGTTCATTTAATTTAAAGAGAATAAAACAAAAGAGAACAGAACAAAGCAAATCAAAACAGAACGATGCAAGCAACAGAGTACATCATACTAAATGGACAAATACTGAAAACCTTCACTTGAAAACCAGGAGCAAGACAAGGATGTCCATTATCACCACTCCTATTCAATATAGTTCTAGAAATATTAGCCAGAACAGACAAGAGGGAGAAATAAAAGGAATAAAAGTAGGAAAAGAAGTTAAATTATCATTATTTGCAGATGGCATGATACCCTACATAGAAGACCCCCCAAAACTACATAAAAGATTGCTAGAGGTAAGAAACAAATTCAGCAGCATAGCTGGATACAGTTTCAATACTCAATATCAATAGCATTCCTACACACAAACAAAAAATTCACTGAGAAAGAA